GGCATCTGATCGAGCCAAGATGGCGACTGATCAGTCGCGGCCACGAATTTTCCTAGATGCCCATTCCAGTATAGAGTTCAGTGTCTGTAGCGTTTGAAGCGCTAAGTGGACCACAGCCTTATTCACTCTAACGAGCGCGTTTGAGTGAGTAGGAGCTACAGTTGGAGGAAATAGGAGTATGTTGGAGCATGCGACGCGAACAAACCTATGGTCGTTGAAGTGAATAGGAGCTGTGGTAGGAGCATGTTGGAGCACGCGACGCGAGCAAACCCATAGGGTTTATTCGCGTCGCACGCTCCAATATGTTCCAATATGCTCCTACCATAGCTTCTACTCACTCCAACGCGCTTGATAGAGTGAGTAGGAGCTATGGGAGGAGTAGAGTCCTAGATTTATCAGAGAGGCTATGGTTGGAGCTAGAGTCCTAGATTTATCAGAGGCGCAACCGGTGTTATGCATTCTGATTTGCTGTTGCAATCTAACCAATTGCGTGACTTGGCAGCCATTTATAGTACTAGTGACATATTTCTATTTTATTTTATCTTATACATTCTATCTCACATAATCCTATACGTCTTATTTTGTTTGACATAGTTTAAAGGCAGTTTCATAGCATGTCGGCCATGTTTAGTACTCTTTTTAGCATCTTTGTCATACTGACTTAAGCCGGTTGCGCCTTTCGGATAAATCTAGGACTCTAGTTGGAGCATGCGACGCGAACAAACCTATAGAGAATGGACTGCGCGATTTGGAAGGCTGGTATTCATAGTCGATTCTTATTTCAAGACCGTCTTAAGTAATGTCTTAAGACGCTAATGCATCCCTCTGATTGGTTCGTGACTTTTTAAGACCGTACTTAAGACGGTCTTGAATATAAGATCTAACTATGAATACCGGCCTAAGTAATGTATCAAATGTGGTTGATAATAATGAGAGAGAGGGACCGTGGGAGACGGCCAATCTCCCTCTTATTCTCTCTCCCATTGTACCATTGAATGGAAAGAGATAGAAATGGCCGTCTGCCACGGTCCCTCTCTCTCATCCCTATCGATCATTTTCACACACGGATCGCGCAGTCTATTCTCTATAGCCGGTATTCATAGTCAGATCTTATATTCAAGACCGTCTTAAGTACGGTCTTAAGAAGTCACG